TTACATGTCGAGGTCCCTTGATACAAATAGACGCATCACAAGTTCCATATTGATTGCTCCTCAATACAATTTCTTTCAAATTCATTAAAATCTCATGTATCGATTCTTGAATCCCGCCTATGGTAGAATACTCATGCGAGGCTTTCTCAGATTTTACACGTGTGATACATGTCCCTTCTATTTCTCCCAGTAAAGCTCTTCGCATCGCAATTCCTATTGTATCGGCTTGACCTTTTATAAGTGGAGATAGGATAAAGCGGCCATAAAAAAGGCGTTTACTGTCTATTCTTGATTCAACACATTTCCACTGTAGTGTCCGAGTAGATACTGCTACTTTCTCTCGAACCATAAAAATTTTGATTTAGTATATTAGTGAATCTTCTATTTCTCTTGATATAGGTTCACTTTTGATTTCTACACACGTCGTTTTTTGGGGGGTCTACAGCCATTGTGTGGCATAGGGGTTATATCCCTTATAAAAGTTAATAGTAGACCGCTTCTATGAATAGCTCGTAATGCTGCATCTCTTCCGAGACCGGGACCTTTTATAAATACTTCAGCTCGTAGCATACCTCGATTCATTACTTTACGAAGAGCATTTATTACCGCGGTTTGAGCAGCAAAAGGTGTTCCTCTTCTGGTTCCTTTGAATCCAGAAGTACCGGCAGAGGACCAAGAAACTACCCGTCCCTGTACATCTGTAATAGTCACTATGGTATTATGGAAACTGGCTTGAACATGAATTACTCCTTTTGGTATTCTACGTGCATTCTGACGTGAACCACTACGTCCGCCCTTTCTACGCGAACTAATTTTCGATATATATTTTACCATTAAGCATTTTTTAAATCTGAGTCAGCGATACACTATATGGATATATCCATTTCACAATTCTTTCATTTATAGAATTGGTTTAGTTACTAAGTTAAGTTGCGAAGTCTTATTATCCCTGTCGTTGTTTATGTCTGGGATTGGAACATATTACTATAAGTCGTCCCCTTCTCCGTATTAATCGACATCTGTCACAAATTTTACGAACAGAAGCTCTTATTTTCATATAAAGACTCCTTACATTTCTTTTAAATTTACTTTAGAGTTTCGGTTTTATTGGAAGATTCTAATAAATACATTCATTTTTTTCTATTTTAAATTTATAATTTTGTTATTCTTGCTAAATGAATAGCTAAGTTGAGAAACGACTCCTTTGAATCATTGTTGTGTTGCAAAAGATTCATCGACTTGTTCTGAAGTAAACTAAAAAAGGATTTAGCCTATTTTCACAAACAGAACTTAAAAAAAAAAAAAGAAAGTGATTTTTGTTCTTTATTGTGATCTTTAAAATATTACCATATATAACACAAAATTTCCCCCCCGATTCTTTGCAGTCGGGCTTCTCGGTCTGTCATTATACCACGTGAAGTAGAAAGAATTACAACCCCCATCCCGCCTAAAATTTTAGGTATTTTTTTAGACGTAGAATACATTCGTAGACCGGGTCGACTTATCCGTTTTAAATTTAGAATATTGCTAAAGGTCCTTTTTTTAGTCTTGATATGTTGCAGAGTTAAAACTAAAAAATTCTTGTTGTTTTCTCGATGTTTTCTCACACTTTCAATAAAACCTTCTTTTAAAAGGAGTTTTACAATCTTTTCGTTAATATTACTGGATGGGATTCGAACCATTCTTTTTCGATCCATATCAGCATTCCGTATAGAAGTTATTATCTCAGCAATAGTGTCCCTACCCATGATAAACTCTAATTATGGGACTCAAAAATTTTATATTCTCAACGTGTTTTTTTTATTGTCTATGGATTATTGTGTTTATCTTACTTTAATTTTAATCTTAAAATTATATACGTGAGACAGATTCTACTCCATTTTTTTTTTTGAATTTTTTTTATAATACCTCAGGAGCTAATGAAACTATTTTAGTAAAATTTAATTGTCTCAACTCCCGGGGGATTGGACCAAAAATTCTGGTCCCTTTTGGATTTCCTTCTTTATCAATAACAACTGCGGCATTATCATCATATCGTATTATTATCCCGTTGCCGCGTTTTAGTTCTTTACAGGTACGCACGATTACGGCTCTAACGACTTCAGATCTTTGTAGAGGCATATTAGGTACAGCTTCTTTGATAACAGCAACAATAATGTCACCAATATAAGCATATCGACGATTGCTAGCTCCTATTATTCGAATACACATCAATTTTCGAGCCCCGCTGTTATCTGCTACATTTAAAAGGGTTTGGGATTGAATCATAGCATTTTTTTTTATTCTTTTCTTTCACAATGCAAAGGGCGAAGAAAAAAAGAAATATTTTTTGTCCACAAACATAAAACGAAACTTATTTTTTTGTTTTTGTTTCATTCTTAAGATTCTTTGGGGTAGTTTTAGAGTGATATTTTCTATTCTATCTCCGAAATAATGAATTGAGTTCGTATCGGCATTTTCGATGCTGCTATTGAAATAGCTTTTCTGGCAATATTTTTTGTTACTCCACCCATTTCAAAAAGGATCCGACCGGGTTTAACAACAGCAACCCAATATTCAGGGGATCCTTTTCCTGAACCCATACGTGTTTCTGCGGGTCGTACAGTAACTGGTTTATCAGGAAATATACGTACCCATATTTTTCCTCCACGACGTGCATTTCGTGTCATTGCCCGTCGGCCGGCTTCTATTTGTCTAGATGTGATCCAAGCGGGTTCAAGTGCTTGAAGCGCATATTTACCGAAACAGATATGATTACCTCGAGAAGCTATTCCCTTCATTCTTCCTCTATGTTGTTTACGGAATCTGGTTCTTTTGGGGTTATAGTTGATGGATTTTTATTTATTACATCTCTACTACAGAACCGGACGTGAGAGTTTCTTCTCATCCAGCTCCTCGCGAATTACGAATAAAGGATTTACAAAATGAGCTTTTGACTAAAATTGATTAATCATAGTGAAGATATCTAAATCTTCAATCTAAAGATAGATACTAAGATAAATACTACAAATCTAAATATAGATAATAAGATCTATAATAATAATATGGACTGAGAAGTCCAAATAATATTTAGGAATTGAGTGATATTTTTTTTCAATCTATTTGAAATAAAATGACTTATTCTACACTTTTTTCATGATTCTCTGAGTCTAACTAATCCTTCTTTTTGACTATTCTTGAATATTGTCTTTATATTGCTTTTTGATTCTTTTGCAAAAAGTTTTCGCGGGCGAATATTGACTCTGTCAATTTAGATTTCATTTCTAGGACGAGCCTGTTACATCTTCTAGCTACTATCTAGAAATCAAATAATTTAACATTGGTTTATTTCGCCATCCCAGCCAGTGAATATTTAAGATTTTTTTTATTTAATCTTAAATTGAATCTTTTTTATTCATAAGTTCCGTCGTCCCCATCACTTCTTACTTAATGGTTAGGTCCTAATTTTACAATGGAGCTCAAATAGTAATATATGAATAATTTGAGTCTTGAGCCATTTTTCTTAGTCTTTATTGGCTTTAAGCTCTTTACTTTAAATTTATCTAATAATTATCTATTCTATAATTTAATTTCTATAATAAGAGTATATTGTTTTTTATTATTGAATATTCTTAGATTTTTTATTCTATTTCAAATACTTGAATATGCAGAATTTAAGTATTAATGCTTCATTACATTGCCTATTTTGTTAGACCCTACATATTGGAATTTTCAATCATTGAGCTTATTTTTCTTCCTTTCTCTCTCCCTTCCAATTATCTACATCTTTTTTATATCTTGCTTGGCAACTTCAATAATATTTGAATAATTTTTGTTTATGCAAATAAATGGCAATTGCTACAACGATATGAGCGCTAATCATATCATGACTGGTTATTTAGATCCAGATAATGCGAAATTGATGAGTTAGTTATTAGGTAATTTCTTCTCGAGTGAGTAGTTGTTACTTTGGGTTTGGTTTCATGCTAACCTTAAAAAATGAACGAGTCGCACACTAAGCATAGCAATGATATTTTTATTAAAAAATAAATAAAATTTTTATTCAACCTTATAGAATTCATTATTATCAATTAGAAATCAATTAGAACTGTTCCTGCTCATTACACAAAATAATTTGTGAAATGGGCCGCTTGGTATTACAGGTAAAAAGAATGAATAAAATTTTATTGAGCTTCATCAAAAAATATCCAAATTTTTATGCCTAAAACCCCGTAGATAGTTCGAACTGAATAACAACAATAATCCATTTTAGCTTGAATAGTTTTGTCGGGGAACTCTTCCTTCTCTTATCCATTCCACACGTGCAATTTCCTTTCCGTCAAGGCGTCCCGCAATTTGTACTTGAATTCCTTTTGTATCTGCTTGTTCAGCTAATTCAATAGCTTTTTTCATTGCTTTTCGAAAGGAAACTCTATTCTTTAATTGTCCAGCTATAAATTCGGCAAGAATATTAGGATTTCCATACGGTTTTTCAATTTTTGTGATAGCAATATTCAGTTTTCGGTTTACAAAATTTAATTTTTTTTGTAGAGCTTTTTGTAATTCTTCAACTCCCTGTGGGCTATTTTCCATAAATATTTTTGGAAATCCCATATATATTATGACTTGGATTAGATCGAGTCTTTTTTTAATATATATACTTGCAATTCCCTCGGTAGCCGAGGGTTTGATTCTATTTTTTTGTACATAATTTTTGATAAAAGCTCTTATCTTTTGATCTTCTTGCAGATTTTCAGCATACGTTTTTGGTTTTGAAAACCAAAGTGAATAATGGGCCTGGTTTGTACCAAGTCTGAAACCAAGTGGATTTATTTTTTGTCCCATAAATACCTCCTATTCTGGATATCAGAATATGCTTTAGTTCTAGAATTTTTTTTCGCTTGTGGTTTTTTTAGCAAACCGAGCTCCACAGATTCAGAATCATTGAATGAAATATCTTTTAGTACAATACTGATATGGCAGGTCGGTCTTTTTATTGGATAACTACGCCCACGAGCCCGAGGTTTTAATTTTTTTCGAGCAGTCCCCTCATTCACTTCAGCTTTACTAATAACTAAATTTGCTTTATTTGCAGCCATAGTGTAACTAGCATTTGATGCGGCTGAATAAACCAATTTTAAAATTTGATAACTGGCACGATAGGGCATGAGTTCTAATATAATAAGTGTTTCCTCATAGGAACGCCCACGAATTTGATAAATAACTCTTCTTGCTTTATTAGCCGACATAGCTATACGTCGACCTAAAACGTATACTTCTGGGGTTTTTTTATTTAGCATCTGGTACATAAAGTTTGCCTCCTACTAATGACTCATAAGCATCAAGATATTTTTTAGTATTCACATTACCGATGAGATCTATTATCATTTTTTGCATGTCCTCGAAAATTTAAAGTAGTTGCAAATTCTCCCAATTTGTGTCCGACCATATGATCCATTATATAAATAGGGAGATGCTCTTTCCCATTATGAATCGCAATAGTATGACCAATCATTATTGGAATAATAGTAGATCCCCGGGACCAAGTTATTATTATTTCTTTTTCTCCCTTTATGTTAAGTTTCTCAATTTTTTTTAATAAATTCTGAGATACAAAGGGATTTTTTTTTAGTGAACGTGCCACAGTTTACTCCTATAAATTTTATTATTCTTTTATTTTTTTATTTTTCATATAATTGAATGAAGAAATTTAATTTGCTCTATTCTATTAATTTTGATACTATAATATATTATATTAACTGCGATGACGAAGAATGAGCTTCTCACTATATTTATTCCTCTTTCTAGTTTTTCTTCCAAGTGCGGGATAACCCCAAGGGGTTGTAGGTTTTTTTCTCCCAATAGGGGCTCTACCCTCACCGCCCCCATGTGGATGGTCTACGGGGTTCATAGCTACTCCTCTAACTACAGGACGCTTACCTAGCCATCGTTTAGCTCCAGCTCTACCCAAATTTTTTTGGTTGAACCCAACATTTCCGACTTGTCCGATTGTTGCGGAGCAATTTTGGGATATAAAACGGACCTCGCCAGAAGGTAATTTTAATGTGGCTGATTTACCCTCTTTTGCAATCAGTTTCGCCATTGCACCCGCTGCTCGAGCTAATTGTCCACCCCTTCCACGTGTGATTTCTAGGTTATGTATAGTCGTGCCTAAGGGGATTTCGGTCAAAGGTAGGGTATTTCCAATTTTGATTGAAACATCTGTACCAGAAACAATCGTATCTCCAATTTGAGCCCCTCTCGGATGTAAAATATACTTCTTCTCACCAGTCCGATAATGTATTAGACAAATGTTTGCATTTCTATTAGGGTCATATTCTATGGTTATGATTCTACCATATAGGTCTTTTTCATTCCGTCGAAAGTCTATTTTACGGTATAGGCGCTTATGACCCCCCCCCCTATGCCTTGATGTAATGATTCCTCTAGCATTACGACCTTTACCACAATGATGCTTTCCAGAGAGCAAATTTTTCCTTCGAGCAAATTTTGGGCTGTTTACGGTTTCGCTCGGGTTATCAGTTTTGTATAATTTTATTCCCATGATATTAATGATTTTTATTTTGGATTGAAAGTTTATTTGTTTGGAGGCATACGTCTAATTCTCTGCGGTAGCCATTGCATTATATGTCCTCTAATAGGGAGGGCCTACCATTATGTGACCCTTTGCCAGAAGCGTAGCACTACTCAAAGTTTATGACGTGGACATAAAAAAACTATTTATTATTTTTTAATATTTTAATAACTAAATCCGTTTTTCTGTAAATACTATATCTTTTATTCCATCCCGAATTTGAGTATTAGTTTAAGTTGAAACTAGTTAGTTCGAGTAAAGAATGTTTTTGTGAATAAGTGTTCCTATATTAAGTGTTCCTATATATATATATAGATATATATATATATCTAATATAGATATATATTCTCTATATGTATTGGTATCCTAGAATTATCTATTATGATATATGAAAATGATATATGAAATGGAAATAGTCAAAATAAAATCTATCTAGGAACATATATCTTATATGATATTTGATTGATTTGATATGGACAAATTTATCTAGGAGCATATATATCTTATATGATATTTGATATGGATTATGAAGGAAATGCTCAAAGTAGATCTATGTTAATATATATCATATAGCCTAAAATATCACAAAAAGAAGAATTGGAGGGTCAATAATATTTTGTTTTGTGTAAATGACTAATAATGTGCATCCAGTAGGAATTGAACCTACGACTTCGCCAATTATGAGTTGGGCGCTTTAACCACTTAGCTATGGATGCTTAAACGAGACCATCATCTATCAAAATTGAAAATTAAAATAGAATAATTATGGCAATTTTTAATCTTGGAATATTTAATTACATTGAATTACAGCAAAAAATGTCGTTTAGATAAAGAATTTATGAAATCTGAAATACTAAACAAAAACTAGATTTCTTTTATCTTCTATATTTCTTTTATCTTCTATATTTAATATTTAATTATATAATATTATATTTATATATAATAATAATATGATATAATAGATATACAATATAGAATACAATAATAAAAGTATTAATACTTTTTAATACTTTATACAAAATTTTAGGGAGGTATGAAATGAATCCTAAGCCAGAAAAGTTCTGGATTTTCGAGTTACGAGAGATACTGAGAGAGATTAAAAAATCAAAATATTTTTTAGATTCATGGACCCAATTGAATGCAATCGGATTTTCAATTCATATTTTAGTCTCCCAAGAACGATTTTTAAAACTGTTTGACCCACAAATTTGGAGTCTTATACTTTCACCTAATTTGCAAGGTTCAAAAAGAAATAGATCAATCAAGATTAAGGGAGTTTTACTAGTTTTCGTTGGCGTTGTTATATTTATATATCGTATTAGCAATCAAAATATGGTTGAAAGAAAGAATCTCTATTTAAAAAGACTTTTTCCTATACCGATGAATTGCAGTGAATCCATAACTGATCAAGATAGTGGTTATTCTACTCTAAATCGATTAAGTATTTTACTCCTTTCTTTTCCAAAAGGCAAAAATCAAGTTGATATTGATTTAATGAATCCAAACTATAATACTCGGGTTTTACCAATAAAAAAAAACCCTAACATGCCTCAATCAAAGTCAGATTCGCCGCAGGGGAAAAACTTTATTAGAGAAATTATTAGACGAACTAGAACGGAATTTAGAGAAATTCCAATGAAACTTCTTGGTTTCAATCTGGTATTCTTAAAAGAGAAAAAATCGCTTGAGTTTCCTTATAATTCCACAAGATCTAGTTCCTTACAAGTAAAAGATTTCGGCCAACCGAAAGGATCCTTGGATAGAAATTTTTTGGATTCTATTAGAAATGAGGATTCGGAATATTCTAAATTAATCAATCAAAGAGAAATTAAACAACGAAAACAAAGATCAACTTCTTGGGATCCTTACCTTTTTAAAACGGAACAAAAAGAGATCAAAGGCCGTAAACCAACGCTAAGCCTTCCGTTTCCGAAAGAAAGGGAACAATCTCGGGGCAATGCCCCGAGGTCCCTTTCTTCATTTTACTCTGATAGATGGTCAGAACTTTATATGGGATCAACTCCTATTGCTAAGTCCACTATGGATCCGAAATTTAGGAATAAATCTCTTTCTTTTGTCCGGCAAGCGGAAAAAAAAGAAATAGTTAATCTATTTAGAATACTTATGTATTTAAAAAGAACTGTTTTAATTAAGTCTATTTCTTTTGATCCCCAAATAAAAAATTCGAAGAATACTGGATTTCTTAAAAAAACTCCATTATTTTATTTTGTTAACCGATTTCTTGAAAGTAAACAAGGAAGCTATGTGCTACAACATGATTGGAAATCAAAAGAAAAATTACAAAAAAGTCCAGGTTTATTTATTCTGACAATAAGCGAGCCGGATCCAGTCTATAATAAGGGCTTTACTTTTTTTGTGAATATAGATTCATATGGATTGCATAAAATCAAATTATTGAATCAAATATTAAATACTAGGACTGACTCGAAAAATCAATCTTTGTTGGTTCTTTCGCCTATTTTTTTTCGTTATAAGGAGAAGAACTATTTTTTTCAACGAACGGGACAAAACTACGTCTGGATTGAAGCAGTGAATCAATGTATATCTATATTGATTCACAATCTGATTCAAATGCAATCTAATACCTATGTGTACATAAGAAATCTATTGAATCAATTTGTTTTCATAAATATATCCAATTGCAATTTCAAATATCGAATTAGGAGAATTCAAGGGGATCAAAAAGAAATGGGTCTTCTCAATCATCTAACTCATATGACATTTAAAATAAAAACGGGTCAACCATATAAATCCAAATGGTCAAATGGGACAAAGAGTTTACAAGAAAATTCAAAACATTTTCTTGATGAGCAGAAAAGACTTTTTAAAATGTATGTTCAAGTCCGAAAGGGCTATTTGCAAATGATGTTTGAGAAAGTTTATCAATTCTCTATTTATATTATTGATAAAATAACTGAGAAATGGATTTATTGGTCTAAGGTTCGCAGGGAAGTAGAAATCAAAGTAAAAAAAAATGTGTATAAGTTAATTCCTTTAGTTTTTACCAAGTTGTCGAAATCAGTACGTTTCTTCTTTTTGCCCCAGTCACTTCGTTTTTTTTTTACGAAGGGATTTCACTGTATGATCAAGTTGCTTTTGTTTTTGTCTAATTCACTTGGTTTTTCCTTTGTAAGTTTTG